TCGGCTGAGGCCCATATCGTATGCTCTTGGAACGCTGACCAAAACTTAGGGTTAGGGCCTGTGGTGAGGAGAACATAATCTTCAAACAAAAAAATCCTAGGTGGCTCACATTCGTTCTGGCATTTTTTTGCCGTTGTCGTTCTTCCTCTTGAAACTCTTGTTTTTTTTCCAAGACTCTTTGTCAATACCAACTCAATGGAATGAGCACCTCTTCTATACAAATTACAGACGATGAATTTATTTAGTCAGTTTTCCCAGGCTAGAAGAAAGCTCAGAGATTAACCTCCCCATTCGCTCCCTGCGTGCAACACACTCCGGGCGGTTACAAGGCCTGGGAGGCGAGCGCTCTCGAAGAGCCTGCTCACGATACGGACGACGAGCTTCAGCATCCATGTCCGGCCAGATGAGTCCAGCAACATCGATGGCTTGTTGAAAACGAAGCCGATCCCTACGCTGGACCATGAGTGCATATTGAATGAAGCAATTCCTGGATCGATGACCAACAACCTGAGCAGGCGGTTGAACAACCCCATCTCGAATCACGATCGAACAAGTAGCAGCACCAGCGTTTTGATCGACATTCGACGCTTCGGTTCCAAGCTCGTTACCGGGAGAAAGATCCCAAGTGTCACAGCTTCCAGAGGGAGACAGAGACTGTTCAGACATGGCTATTCCTCAACGAAGGGAACCGGATACCCACTGGAGAAAAACTGACCGTATATATATGTAACTAAGGTGCCACGATCGATTTTTGGGCACTTCCTCCAAAACTTTCCGCAGTGAGTGAGAAAATGTTGGGAAATTGCCTCTCTTCGGTGAACAAAGGCGTTTCCATTACTGTCCTAAAAGTTTTCAGAAGTCAGTGTTAATGACACTTCAGTATACGAGCCAGAAACTCTGATCGATTGTCACAGAAAAAGGCTGATTAGCTTTTTCTGGAGAACTCCTCTTTTTTTCACTGTACGGGCCCATGGAGTTCAGACGGCATATAAGCAGCATTCAAATAAACATCAAACACAGATTCTTCTGTCACACGCATCCCTTGCGTCCTCATTCCTGAGACCATCTTCCCTGCCAGCCCTCGACCCTCGGAGATCATCAGAACATTGTGCCGAAACAAACTCCAAACTGCAAACAGTAGACTCCTGCCGACTGAGTACCTTTCTCAGTGAGCATATGCTCAGGATCCTCACGGATTCCCAACAGGATGTTGCCGCAACAATCCAATCGACGTTGACAATTGTCAATGTCTACATCCGCAGACCCCGATGGAAATTGATATGCACGATTCTGAGAACGAGTATCGGAAATCGAGAGATATTCAGAAACGACGGATCGTTCAGATGATTCAGGACATAAAGGAAAGCATAGACGAGCACACCGGACAACTTCGGCGACAGGCCAGCGTCGAACAAATCCGAACACTGCGTCGCCTGGCCAATGAGCTCAGCGACGAGAACGGAGCCCCAGAGCCATTCCGACGACCACCCAGCCCACCACGCGAGCGCCCGGGACGTCCAGACCGTCTCCTCTTCTTCCTCCGAGTCCTCCTCATCTTTCTGTCCCTCGTCCTCCTCTACCAGCTCCTTTCCAACGTCGTCAGCGGTACATGACAACTCATCGCCGGACAACTCAACGCCGACATCTCATCGCCGACAACTGAACGCTGAGACAGCTGATCGCCGGACGATTCATCGCCGAGAGAACTCATCGCCGGACAACTCATCGCCGGACAACTCGTCGCCGAGAGAACTCATCGCCGGACAACTCATCGCCGAGCCTCCATCACTCTTCTTCGAGTTTCCAAATGAAGACCCCGCAGTTTTCGAGCTTTAATTTACTTCATATTTCTCGGCTCAAGATACCACAATGTACCTACAACGATTTTCACAACGTACAATGACCATACACACAGGGTTAATACGAGTATCGTTTGTATGGCACGGCGCCAAACATACAGAATGCTGGAAAGTCGAGGCTTCATGGGTTCATCACAGACTTGGATGCGCAACCCCTCAGATATCCGACAACCGTGTGGATATGGAAGTTGTTCACCAACTTCCATAGAGAGTATATACCCTGTATGTATCGTCAATGTACGTTGTGAAGATCGTTGCAGGTACATTAAGGTATCTCAAGCCGAGAAATATGAAGTAAGTTAGAGCTTGATAAGAGCGGGGTCTTCGTTTGGAAACTCGAAGAAGAGTGATGGAGGCTCGGCGATGAGTTGTCCGGCGATGAGTTCTATCGGCGATGAGCTGTCCGGCGATGGGTTGTCCGGCCATGAGTTCTCTCGGCGATGAATTGTCCGGCGATGAGTTGTCTCAGCGTTCAGTTGTCGGCGATGAGATGTCGGCGCTCAGTTCTCCGGCGATGAGTTGTCTGTGTCCGATGACTCGGTGCGGGCTCTCCTTGCGATTGCGGCGTCCCGCGGAATGAATCTGGCTCAATTCGACGTCAGAACAGCTTTTCTGTACGGGAAAATAGCAGACGTGTACCTCGAACAGCCAGAAGGATTCGACGTCAGAACAGCTTTTCTGTACGGGAGGGAGCAGACGTGTACCTCGAACAGCCAGAAGGATTCAACGATCAGACTGGGAGAGTGTGTCATCTCAAGAAAGGGTTGTACGGGCTGAAACAGAGTCCTCGGTGCTGGAACAAGCGGTTTTTCGACTTCATGAAGAATGCAGGACTTCAGAACAGTCAAGCAGATCCTTGCGTATTCTATCGACGTCGTGACGGACACGATCTGTACGTGGCAATCTACGTGGACGACGGATTGGTCGTAGGCGGCAGCGAAACCGAGATCGACTTTTTCCTCAAACAACTAACCGAAGAATTCAAGATTACGACCGGTACGCTTGATAACTTCCTCGGGATGAGGATCGAGCGAAAGGAAGACGGCTCGATAACTGTGAGTCAGGCAGCTTACACCGAGAAGATTCTACAGCGATATCGAATGGCCGAATCGAATCCTGTTTCTACCCCGGCGAATAACGACGAGAGTGAAGGTGGTGAGGATGTGTCGGATAAAGTTCCGTACCGCGGAGCTGTAGGCAGTTTGATGTACCTCATGACAGCCACGCGACCGGATATCTCGGACGCTGTGAGCAAAGCGTCGAGAGTGCTGGACAAGCCTACCGAAAAGGAATGAAGTCAAACGTATATTCAGGTACCTCAAGGGAACCGTGGACTACCGGCTGATGTACAAGAAAGGAGAAAGCAAGCTCAGTGTCTTCAGCGACGCAGATTTCGGAGGTGACAGGGCGACTAGACGGTCAACCTCGGGCGTAGTTGCCATCTTCGCAGGCGGAGCAGTATCATGGTCGAGCAAGCTCCAGCAGTCGGTTGCGCTGAGCACCGAGGCCGAGATCATGGCGGCCAGCGAGGGAGCAAAGGAGTTGATGTGGCTCAAACGTCTTCTGGTGGATCTTTCCGAGAGAATGGAAGCTCCTCCCACCCTGTTCATGGATTCGGCAAGTGGATTGAAACTAGCCAAGAACCAAGAGTACCACAAGCGGTCGAAACATATAGAAATCAGACATGCCTTCGTTCGAGAAAGGTTCCTCAGCGGAGACATCACTCTTCAACATATCGAGGGGACGAGAATGATCGCAGACATCTGTACGAAGCCCTTGGATCGGATCCGTTTCGAATAGATCCGTGGATACTTGGGACTTGCAAAGGTGGAGAAACATTGATGCTTCGTTCAGGGGGAAGTGTTGAGAGAAGCGATTGAACTCAGCATCGTCTGCATTGTAAACATCATGTTCAATAGCGAAACGTTCGTTTTTCAAGAGAATAAAAGACGACAACGTGAAGCGGTCGAAGTGACGCTCGCTACAGACACACGTGTTCTGGTGTGTATGAGAACAGACGGGTCGTTTTTTCCCTGATCTCTCAAGCTCGCTAGTGGGACTGATTCTCCGAGTACTGCCAAACTGGAGCTAGGTTATCTACAACAGAGTTCGGTGCGGGAAACTGATAATTTAGAGTGTGAAATAGTGGAGATTAGAGACTAAAAAGTGAGCAAAAAGGAGATTCAACAACTTCAGAGCGCTGTCGAGTCGTGTGGCAAACGATTCGCAGCGTGGGTGAGCGATTGAACTTTTCTAGAAAAACCTTTTCTCTTTTCGGATTTTCTCGGAAATCTGAGGATCTCTGAGGAAAGTTGCGAAGGCAAAAAATAATCGTCGTTAAATTTTGAGTTGATTAAGCCACAAGAAGTGGCCCCTCAGTTAGACCTCGTTTTTTGTAAATTTTCCAAGTCAGGCCAAGGGCCAAGGCTTCATCCAAACAGAAAGTTATATTCACCAATTTTCAGGGACTTTCAGGGATTTTCAGGGCCCCGCAGGGAATACGTCCCTGAGTATTTCGGGGGCAAGGAATTCAAATTTCTAGTCAAAAATACAAATTTCCCATTATTTCAAGTTTAGGCTTAGCGTTAGGCCTAAAAAATCTGAAGTGTACAAAAGGCGCGGGACGTGCTAAGCAGCACGAATCTGCCATTAAAAAATTTCTCCGAGCTCCGAGAGCCGAGATAGAGCTAATTTAGTGTTGAAAATATCACCCCAAGCAGGAATCTTTGCATAAAGTGTAATTTTGATCTAAAAGCCGCGTCAATAAACCGTTGGCGTTGAAAAAAAAGAAACGATGAGAACGGCGGACGCAGATAAAGAGAAAAACGCGAAGTTTATTACACATACGGAGTGAGGGTGTAATCTTTCCCGAGGCCCATCTCAGAGGCGTCGGTCTGGGTGCTAACCTCCCTTGTTTTCGGGGCGGGCGGCGCAGAGGCTTGGGGACTCGACGGACGAGCTTCGTTGGCCGGGGGGGGGGGGGGGAGACAAGTGGGCCGAGCCGAGCGAGAGCAAGCTGGCCCAGGCAGCAGTGGATGCGGTCGAGAATGCGTACCGGGAGTAGCAGCGGCGCGGGGTTCACGGTTCGGTTGGAGACACAGAGCGGCAGCGCGGCAGAAGGGGGCCCTCTCGTCGAACGTCATGGAGTCCCACGTGCCGCGGCTCACCAGACGAAGATCACGGTACGGAACGGTCTCGAACTCGCGACTGGCGATCAGAGAAGAGTTCGTCGAAGGCGAACTTGGATGGTCATCCTTCGAAGCAAGAGATGCCCAGAGCAAACTAAGATACTTCGAAAGAGTGAGATCGATGCCTGAAAATAGATGGCCGAAAGCGATCTTGAGAATGATGGAGCTCACTCTGAAGAAAACCAAGGCGTACCAGGAGACCGAACGACTTCGAGCAAAATACAAGTGCTCAGACATCAGTCTCCAATTCGATGTAGAAGGACGCCCGCTCTCGAATATCTTCAACAAAAGGATCAAAGAGAGGATACGAGAGACCCAAGAGGCGATGTGGAGAGACAACATGCTCCTCAAGACGAGCCTCAGTACCTACGCCATGGGAAAGAAGACTCGAGGTGTAACTAGCTTCACCTACGATAACAGTAAGGGAAGCGCCCTCCTAGCTTTGGCCAGAGCCAACATGTTGCCAACCAGAGCCCACAAGATGTACCCCGGAATCGACAAAACCTGTCCCAGGTGTGGCATCTACGAAGAGACGATGGAACACGTCATCTTCGAATGCAACGACATCTACCACACGGGAGAAGAACTCCTGTGCCGTCTCGGACTCCACGAAGAAGCAAACAATGCAACCGAAGTAAGAAGGACAAAAAGAATCCTGGAGGACTGGGACAAACAACGATCTGCTGAATTTCGCGCCTGATATGAAAGGCTGATTGACTATGTATATACAAACAAACAGATATACACCTCAATCTAGATCACAATAAACCATTAACCATTAACCATTAGAATCAACGAAAAGGCCCAAGGGGCTCAAGTGGCAGCGGGACATCACGGTTTGAGAGGTCGAGGGTTGGCTCGGAATGGTCGAAATTGTGAGGGAAAACGCGGGTTCGGTCTCGAATCGGAAGAGGAGATAGGTCTAGAACTCTCCGATGCGGTAAGAATTCGTTCAATTCATACGGTGACCCGGTTCCAGACCGACATTTTGGGATCAAATGTCTCGTCGCACTTTTCGGACTAGTTAGCTCAGCCTGAAGCCAATGTGACTTCCGTAGTTACGATCCAGTCGAGATTCTCCCGGAAATAGGGCCAGACAAGAATTCTCGTATATCCATTTCTCACGCATTCAAATGTTCATCGCTCGAGCGAATATCTTAGGTAGCGCACACGGCCAGCCGAGAGAAATGTAAGCCGGAGAATTCGGCGGGAGTGTGACGCATAGCCAGAGCTCAA